GGGGGGTGAATAGAGTTGTTTTCAAGAATGTGCGTTTTTCGCGTGTGTGAAATAATAAAATCGCAGGAATAAATAAAAAGAGTAAGGGAAAGAAGAACACCGAGATTTATACTGGTTCACCACCTCGTGGCTAGTCCAGTCCTCCGAGAGACTCTCTCGAAAGTCCTACTAATCTTCAAGCTTCAACGGGTGCTTGAAAAACCGGTACAACTTGAGAACTTGAATCACACAAGCCTTACTTTCTTACAACAACAAGACTTGAGTCACACAAGTCTTAAGAACAACACTCAAATGAGATTGAGTTTACAACACAAGAATGAAAGCTCACACAATTGAGCAAAGTAGTGTTGAAGAATTAAAGCTCTATGGATGACAAAATCTTTCGCACTCAATAAAATATTTCTAACTCTCAAAATAATATATTTGATGAGGAAGATGGAAGCAAGAATTGAATATTGATCAATGAAGATATTGGAGTGCAAGAGATGTGTTTTTAATGAGGGAGGATGAGTGTTTTTATAGGGAGAAAAGAAATAAATCCGTTGGATGTAGGGATGAAATGTTTTTGACAGATTGGACCGTTGGGGATCGATCCAGGGAAAATGATCGATCATCTGGAGTAATCGATCGAAAAAATATTTCTGCAAAAAACTTCGGGGGATCGATCCAAGTAAAAGGATCGATCCAAAGGGACCAAAAATCCGGAAATGAGTTTTTGCAACCCTTCGGCGGATCGATTCAGGGAAAAGGATCGATCCCAATCCCTGCAGCGCAAAACAAGGTGATCGATCCTAGCAGTTGGATCGCCAGTGACGGACAGCCCTCAAACATGAGGACCCAAGACATGTGTGCGAGTGGGATAATTATTTGGAGCTAAATGATTTGTTTAGGACAAGATTTGAATATCATAAGGCTCCCATAAACAAACAAATCAAATAGGTTAAAGGAATTAATTCAAATTCAAAATTTGAATTAAATATATGAATTTTTGGTGTAGAAATTGAGTCCCAAAAATATTTTGTGTGTCAAACGATGTAAAAAAAACTTTAAAGTACATTTTTCTTACCACAAAAAATTTGTGTATCCTTAAAAATATTTTTAAAGAAATTTTGACACACTATTTAAAACTGACTCAAAAGAATAATTTTTTTTTTGACAGAGAAAAAATAATTTTTCAACTGACTCAAAAAAATAATAATTTTTATCCCTCAAAAATAATTTGTTTATGCAAAAAATTTGTCATCCTTACAAGAATTCCTAGACTCAATAAAAATAAAAAGTCTTCGGAGTCTTCACTTCACTTCAAAAAATTGCGTAGGAGTGAGCGTTGATTTTAATCGCCGTAACCTTCTTGATACCCTTCTTTGCTTTTCTCGATCCGAAAAATAAATTTTCGAAAATCGATTGAATTTAATCATCCTATTTGTCATTCATCAAAACAAAAAATATTCCAGAAAATAATAAAGGGGTTTGAACTCATGTCCAACAAACTTCCAACTCATCCCCAGGAATTTCTACCAAAAACAGTTGAGTTTTCTTGCTTTGGCACTTGTGACCTTTCTCATAAGGTTGATCACAAAAGTAACACAGCCCCTTTGCGCTTTTTTCTGCCCTTTCAGGAGCTGTCAAGACTGTTGGGATTGATTAATTAAAAAGAAAAAGAAAAAAAAAGGAATATGCATGCATAGACATAATGCATGTGAAGTGGACCCATGATGCCATGCATGTGAAGGGGAGCTAATTGTCTCCTCCCCTTGTTTTTGGTGGTGTACGAAAGTAATGGGATGGGGATGCTTTTTTTTTTGGCCTTCACCTCTTATAAGAGGAATCTTTTTCTATATATTTGGGTGTGAGTTTTACACACGGGGATAGGAGAGGGAAGAAAAAAAAGGAGAGGAAGGTTAAAGAGAGAGGTGTTACACAAGATATCACCAACATTGTGTGAGTGAGTGTAAGGAGTAACTGATTTTAGTTACTCGGAAAAATACATCCGGGTATAGGGTGTGAAAAGTCTGTTTATAAGTGTCTGGTATTTAGCACTTGTAAACAGGGAGAGTTTTTTGTGTATCGTTCTGAAATAGTGAAGATATAATTTTTCTCTCATATATTCTCCTTGTGTTTGTTCTCTCATTTTTCTGGTGTTCTCAATATTTTTCGGTATCTTACGCGCTTAAAATCCCAACAATTGGTATCAGAGCCAAGTTACATTTGGGGCGGAGGGATTTCTAAGTGGTAAGAGAAGAAAGTCGAGAACTTGAAAATTTGCATCGGTAAAAAGTTCGAATGTTTCCGTCGAACCTTTCGATGGACGTGGCGATTTTACTCTGTGGCAACAACGAGTAAAAAGTGTTCTTACTCGGGAAGGGACAATCAAAGCTCTGAAGGTGAAGGTTCAGAGGACAGAAAAAATGACGGATGCTGAGTGGGCCAAACACCGGAAGAACGACAAACCGGAAAAATTGTCGGAAGAAGAGTGGGAGGATTTAAAGGACATGGCAACAAGTACAATATGCATATGCCTTGCAAATAATACTCTTCGGGAGGTTCTCGGTTTGACGGACCCGGTGGATATTTGGGACAAGCTGGAGAGCCGGTACAAGTCGAAATCGTTGACAAGTAGGCTATACTTGAAGAAACGATTATTTGGTCTCCAAATGGCGGAGGAAGCTAACTTTAATGGGCACTTGGATGAATTCAACAAGATTACAACAGAGTTGGAATCCATTGATGTGAAGATTGAAGAGGAGGACAAGGCGTTGCTTTTGTTGGCTTCATTACCTTCATCTTTTGACAACATCGTGACCACGCTTTTGTTTGGAAAAGAGACCTTAAAATTTGATGAAGTAGTTGCTGCGTTGTTGATGAACGAGACTCGGCGGGGTTGCAACGGGGTATCAAACGACGGTCAAGGTTTGGTAGCAAAAGGAGCTGGTCAGGAACGAGGACAGTCTAAAGAGAGGGGCGGCGCGTCCCAACGCTTCAAATACAGCAACAACAACAACAACAACCCAGTTGAATCCCACATCAGTAGGGTCTGGGGAGGGTGTGTGTACGCAGACCTTGCCCCTACTCGGAAGTAGGGAGGCTGTTTCCAAGAGACCCCCGGCTCCACCTGCACAAAAATATGGAAGAGAACACAGTATAGCACAGATAAGGCACCAAGTATAAGCAACAAGTACAAACAATATCCAAAGATTCCCAACAAATACAACACACTACGTCCCAACGCTTCAAATCAAGTAGTAAAAGCTTTCGGTGTTACTACTGCGATGAAGAGGGTCATTTCAAAAGGGATTGTCCAAAGAGGAGGAAGGAAAAGAAGGACGAGAAAACACTCGTGACTGCGGTTGCAGAAAGTTCGAACCAAGAAAGTGAAGAAGACTTGTTTTTGGCAACCACAAAGAGTCTAGGTAAATCAGATTGGATATTAGATTCGGGTTGTTCGTTTCACATGTGTTCAGTTAAGGAAAAGTTTGATACATATCAAACTTGTGATGGGGGTGTTGTGAAGATGACAAATGGTGCACGGAGCAAAATTGCAGGGGTCGGAACAGTGCAAGTTCGCATGTTTGATGGCATGGTGAGAACATTAACTGGAGTGAAACATGTACCGGGTCTAAAAGGAAATTTGATTTCATTGGGGGCTTTAGACTCAGAAGGCTGCCAAATTTTTGCTCAAGGTGGAGTGTTAAAAATTTCTAGGGGAGCAATGGTGGTAGCAAAAGGAGTTTTGTCAAAAGGCTTGTATAAACTTGTTGAAAAAGATTTGACACAGAAGCTGTCAGAAGGAAGAATTACAAGTGCAACAAGCGGAGCATTTGCATGGAAGAAGCAGGTGACGTTTGAAGCTTCTCGGATTGGTGGATACTGTGACCTCGCCGAAATGAGCGGGTGGAGCCGGACCATGGTTTGTGTTAGCCACTTATCAAGTGATAACAAATTAAGCTATTCCCCAATTACTACACACTTATAAAAATGGTAGCAAAGTGGTAAGTAGGGTCATTCTTCCACAGGGAGACTTGTCTTCTATTATTTCTTCTCTTGATTAATTGCTCAGTTTTCACAACACACACACGCAAAGGGGGGGTTGTTTAAAAGATGCTAATACTACGTAATGAAAACAGATTTTAACCGAAACAATGAGAACAGATCAAAGAAGGAGAGAGAAGTTCAGGTAAAGGTTTGTGGTTATCAAATGGAGTAGCAGGCTTGTCTGGTGGAATTAGGAACAGTTGCTCAGATCAAAGTAAAAAATCAGATTCTCAGCTAAACAAGTTGTTGAACAAAAGTGAGATTTAGCTCTCTCAGCAAGGAGCTAAATCTCCACCTCAAAAATCAGTCCTTAAGAGAGATGAGCACTGCCTAAGGACCTGTACCTACGTTAATAACCTCAGGATGAGCCTGATGCAAATTAACATAAGCATGAATTCAGTTATAAAAACCTTTTGAACATACAATATACTTGGATAGCCAAATACACTATATGCCAGTTGTTGGACCCCAAATAAGAATTTCAGACTGAAAAATTGAGGCATGAGACCTACAATCAACAGTTTTGAGAAGCTGAGCACAAATCAGGATTAAACAACCTTCAACAACTGTCTAAACCTCAAATCATTGCAACGAACACAAATTCCTGAGAACTGATCCTAAATTTCCACCAGACAAGAGAGGGATTACTCTCGGGACATGATCATGATAATCGATTCACAATTTAAACACATGATCACAGGAAATATTGTCCAAACAAGAGATTATGACTCAGATTTGAATAGCACGAAATCACACGTTCAATTACGAATCAACAATTCAAACAGTCCTCAAACATTAAAACTGTATCACGAATTTGAAAACAAAAACAACGAAGTACCTATGCACAGCGTTCGAGGATCAAA